CTGTCCCAAATACCTTAGATCAAGTTGTGATGTTGTCTCACTCGGAAGAAATCTCTGCAGTTATTTTCATTTAAGGTCTATTGATTGCATTTGAGGGACAAAGAAGTGCAGAAGGTAACACTTGCATGATATCAAGTATCACCCAATGGGTAGTAATCTCAGTATAACAAACTAATTTGAGACCCAGAAATGATTTTGTTATACCAGTGTTTGAAATAGTGAATATTGATCATAATTGGTAAGTGCATTGTTATTTTGGAAATATCAGTAAATTTGTGAAAGTGAGGTTACAGTGTACATGTATATGTAAAGTAAACATCTAAATAACAACATACCAACACACTATCGTGCTGTAATGTCTCTTCAACCACCTTAGCTTTCAGTTGTTCATGTAATCTACTATTTTCATCTACAAATTCTTCCATTTTCATCTTGAATATCTTCAACTCCTCCTTCAAATTATAAGTGGTGATAACATTCATATTGGCAAGTCATAAAAGCTGGGCTCTTTGCAAGAAGCCACCAGCGAATTACATTTACATTTGGCTGCAACAAATTATGTCACATTCAGAACCAATGGCTAGGATGTATTTAAAATCATGAATTACTCTTAGCAAAAGCTATCGTCGTTCACAGAAATATAAATTAAACATCAGGAAAACTTACAGTACTGCACATTTCAATTTTCTAAATAAATCTCATCTGATTCATTAATTATTTTATATTTGTTTGCAAAGTAGCTTAAAAAGTTGGTAATTTGAGAAGAATTAGTCACTATAGCTAAAACTATTTAAAAAATAAAAAAAAAACTAACAGTTCATAATGTTCTACAGATATGAATAGTACATGTACATAATAACAGTGTCAGGTAAAGAGCACCAGCAAGAAGTCAAATTAAGTGTGCTTCAGTGGTTATTCAAGTTTTCCCCAGAGGTTGAGTGTAAATCCAAGTTTGTTGATCCATATTGATTCTAGATACCTTCCACCTAGCATATCATATACACAAAGATGAAACATTCACTAACATACGTATAAATATCAGTAGTTACATTAATCACACCAGTCACACATCCAGTTCAAATTTATTTGTCACTTTACTATTTACTTTTTCATCTAGGTTGTACTTGTCAAAACCTGAATTTTCTGGGTGAAACATTGTAAATTAAATATGTGCATAAACAACCAGGAGTAGTCATGTGAAGTTCTATGTTTTACACATTCTGATAAGTTGGAAATATTAATAATTTGTTTAAATATAATGGATTAATAATTTACTAGTATTAAAAAGTAACCATTGTGAATGATAACTTACCTCAATAAACCTATTTTTACCTTCTAGCTGATATATATATGATATGTAGTTATTAATAAGTGGTAACAGTTCAGATGGACTTGGAAGAGTTCCTGTACCAGTAATTGGAAGGATGTGTGTTGGTCCCTAACATATAATGAACAAAGTTTATTTAAATTTCATTCAGGTTGGATATGCTTTCATGAAAAAAGAAGAGATGATGTTTGCAGATATTGGTTATTTTATAATCCATCAGGTTGGGTATTTTTGTATTTACATGTATAATGATCAAGAAAGTAAAATGCTTGACTTACCCTAAAATTAGGTTCATGTTCATAGATAGGAAAACTCATTTTTGATCTTGGAGATTGGCCACTTTTCCCATCTTGATCTTTTAATAGATGTCTAAGCCTATCTACGGCATTGTCATAGTCATGACTTAGATGTAATCTAGGTGATGGTGATGTTGATTGTCTATCCGATGGTATGGTTGTTGTGGGACTGCTTAGTGAAGATTTGAGTTCTTTTAGGCTTGCATTTGCCCTTTCTGTCAAAAAAAGGGGGAAATATTTTTTTGTTTAAACACTAGTTTGTTTTACTCCCACAATGAAAGATGTTAGGAAGCTAATATTGAGCATGTGTATATAAATATATACAAATATTTTTTTTGTACAGCAGAAGAATAATTACTCAATCTAAAAGTATAATTTGTCAATAACCCAAACAAAAATTGTTTACACAAAGCTAAATTTATTGCCATCAACTAATTACGACAATAAGATGAAAAAAAAAAGATTTTTTAGAATAAGCTACAGCATATATTTCTATTGTATACATGTTTAATCAATTAAATCACATATATTGCTTGCTATTAGTATTTTACTATTTATTTTCATATTTATTGTCACACCCTGGCTGCCTTTAGATGCTTACATTATTTAACCTATACAATATAGGAGTGGGTAAATTATCACATTTGTTTCAAACATGGTAAACAATTGTTAAGGTGTACATTTGGAGGTTTTTAATCCAGTATGATATATTTTTGGGGGGAGAAAACTGTCTGAAACAATGCAAAAGTTGTCTTTTTTAAACTATTTTCATAGAAATTCATGTTAATAAAGCATTAATTCACAAATAGTACTCATCAGAATTTTCCAATATTTGACACAACTATAAGTCTTATTGGTAGTTTATTATATGCTGATGACCTTGTGTTCATATCTGAAACAGATTCAGGTTTACAAACTGTTTCAAATAATTATCTCAATACTGCAGTAAGTGGAACCTTGAGGT